CAGAATTTTCATTAGACAGTAACTTTATTTTACTTATGATAATTTAATATATAAGTTAAAGATATTTATTAATAAGTGTTTAAATATTTTGTGAAACTTACAATTTAATTTAATTCATGCATTTATTTATTAAGTTCATTAATATTTACTATTCAATTTCATTTGGTTGTTTAGTAAATACAAAAAAGTTTATCAATTTAAGTATTTTAAATAATCTATTCAAATTCATAGGCATTTATTATAGTTTTACCTTATTTATAGATAAGTATAAAATTATTTGCATATAAATTTATTACAAATAGAAAATGTGTATTATGCAACTAATATAACACTTATATGCAAAGTTTTTAACTTAGAATTACTATATAATATATAATAAGAACATTATTCAGTTTTGCAGTAATTGTTAGTTGCCTTTGAACAAGATTATAGAATGCTAATTTTTATAAATTTTATTCAAAGTCAACTAACAATTACTGCAGAACTAATTAACATCTCTATTTATATTAATATAATTGAGTAGATTTTATTTAAGTACAGATCAAAATCTCAATAAAAAAATCCAAACAGTCAAAAATTCTAACAATTAAAAATCTTGATAGCCAGAATTTTAGATAGAAACTTCTAAGTATGAAATATATGTAAAGCAAAATAGACTTTTAAAAATTAATTAATTTTAGGATTGGGTTACTTTAGATAAGAGTTAATATAGGATTTGCTATGTTCTATAATAATTTTTATTAGAGATTTTAATTATCAGAATTTTTAATTATCAGGATTTTTGACTTACAGAATTTTTTTGTTAAGATTATGATTTGTTGAGATTTTGTTTATCAAAATTTTGACCTATATCTGTCTTAAATATATGGATTTTCTCAAAACATAAAAATAATTAATTACTAAGAGATCTTTGTAGCATTTGATTGTTAGATATCTCTTAAATTGAATAAGTTTTTTAAAATTAGCTTTTTAATTAAAATAAATAAAATAATCAATTTATTATCTTAAATTGCATTATGAGTAAGAATCTATAGCTTTGATTTTTATTAATTAAAATGAATAATATAAGCTAACAAACAACTGCACATGCATTTAAATAATTAGTGATTAGTATTTTAAGTAATCAATTAATATACTATTAGGATACATTTAAGGTTTCAAACTTTTTTAAAACTAGCATCTTCATTAATTCAAAAGTGAATAATACAATGTTACAAAATTGCCAGTTGGTGAGTATTTTGAACAGACAGGAGTTCCTTTTATTTTACTGAATATTACTTTACTGCCATCTATATTTCTTTCACTAACAGTTATTTTATTGATAAAATAATTTAATCATTGTTATTAGAGTTAGACTAGAATTAAGATTAATGTAGTTTTTAAAAAAACTTATTAGTAAAATGAGTCATCAGTGAATAAATATTAGTAAAATAAGTTATTAGTGAAATAAATATTGGTGCAACAAACTTGTCAATAAAGTAATATTTAGTAAAACAATTTATATTCTTAGAACAATACTATTTTTTATATTAAAATTTTTACTAATTTGAAATATTTTTTAAATTTGTATATTTTAGAGTATTATAAACTTTTTTAAGCTAAAATTTTATGTTGATTTAAAATTAAGCATTATAACTTTAAATAATTTGTATGACAATAAGTATTCTCAAAATTGTCAATTGATAAGTATCTAATTTTATTATTGTAGCTAAAGCTAAAAATTTTAATTATTTTAATATGAAATTTTCAAAAATTTTTGGATGCATTTTTTTTAATAATTAGGTTATCTTTAGAGTTAACTTTGATAATAAGTAGATTTAAATAGAATTTGTATTTTTTAAATCAAGGTCTCTAATTTTCAGCTTTAGCCATAACATTTATTATTTTTAAATTAGTTTGAAGTCAAATAATATAAATTCTCTATTTAGTGTTTTTATATCAAATAACTTAGCATTACATATATATATTGCATTATATAATTTGTATGATGATTCTACAAATTTTATTGAATTTTATCAATAAAATGTATATATACAGTATTTAATCAGAATATAGTGTCTATTTTCTAATAATTTAAGTGAATAATAAATTTGTATCTGTTATGAAATTTGATTTTGTAATATTAGTAATATATATTTTTTTTTAATAAGAACACTAGTAACCTATAAGTAATTTGTCAGATAACTTATTGAATGACTTATGGATAACTTATAAATGACCTATTGGATGATCTATCTGATTTTTATCTGAGTAACTTATAACTTACCTATTGAGCAACTTAGATAAAAACTTTTTATATGAGTTAATTCACTATTACAGATATTTTTGATAAAACTTCTAGTTGGATGTTTGATAAAATATTGATTCCAGAAAATTATATAATATGAATTGTAAATGCTTGTGTAGTTAAAGTATAGTATAGATGATGAATTATATTGTTTTGCTAATGAGTCTGCTAAGTTAATAAAGTGTTATTGGAGTAAGCTTGTAATTAGTAAAAGTTAATTTGGTAATTATAAAATTTGATAATATTAAGCAGAGTATGCTATATAGTTTATGAGCTAAATTTGGAAAGTTTATTAGAATTTAAGAAAGTAGTATACATTTAAGAATATTTAGTGATTATAGACTGAGAATTAGTAAAAATATTAATTGTTGAGTTGTGAAGAATAATTGAAATAGCTAAAAGAATTGACATTAGTTCAGCTTTATAAGAGAATGACTAAAAATAGATTTTAGCTGAGAATTTGTAAATAATTTGGTTAAGATCATTAACTTGTACTCATCTAATACTCATTGTATATTGATTTGTACTGATGTCAATTACTAAGCCATCAGTATAGAAATTAAATATATATTGTATTATATTGATAAGAGAATATTGTTTAAGTGTCTTTGTAGCTTTTTTTTATTTAAAAATTATTGATATAAAGGAATCAGAAACAGTTTTTTTTAATATAACTAGTCTAATCACAAAAGTAATATATTTTCTAGGTCTTTTTTTATTTAGTAATTATCTTATTATTTTAATATAAATAAAGCAAAAAATTTTTTTTCAATTTTTAGATTATTTGTATTATCAAAAATAATTATTAATTAGTTTGTTAGATATATTGTACCTTTGATAAGTAATAGTTTAATAAAGATAATTTTTTTGAAGTCTTAAAAGGCTTCTTTAACCTGATTAAAAATATATTTTTTAATACTTAGAATTATGTTTCTGACTTTAATTAGCAAAATAATTTATATATATTAATAAAAATATATTTATAGTATGTTTCTTTGAAGATTTTAATTCTATTAGTTGCATAATATATTAGTTAATTATGGTTTGAAAATACAATTTCAAAGAAATACTTTAAATTTTTTTTAAAATATTGCTTAACAACAACTATGTCTTCTCTTATATTTTTATATAAAAAAATTATAATTTTATTAAAAGAATTATAAAGATTTAAAATTTCAATAATTAATACATTGTTGTTTTTAGATCTGATTTGATTTCTAGAAAAAATATAACAAAAGTTAATTTTTTTTATTTTAAGTTAATAGACAAACTTGTATCTTGTTTAGTAATTAACTAGTAGACTAACACATCCTTATGTTTATAATTATAATATAATATATATATACAATATATATATATTTTTTAAAACCAAACATGTACAGTTGTTTATAGCATATGACTGATTTTAAATAAATCTAACTAATTAAATTATTTAAAATGCACAGACAGAAATTAAAATTTTAATAATATAAATGTATAACTTTGGATAATCTTATATACTGATTAATTATCAGTAATAATGTTATTATTATATTTTAAGTTTAATTTGTAACTGTTTTTGTTGTTGTTTTCTTTTTCATTATTTATTTCATTTACAATATTATATATGTATTCCAAAATCTAAAAGTTATTTTTATTTTGATCAATATCCTTTAAACAGTCTTTTTTGTTCTGGATCACTACTATTAAAATTAAATTATTCTCTATTACTATTTTTTTTTTGAGCTGTTGTTATATTATTGAGTTTTATTTTATTTTCTTTTTTTATGAATAAGTTATTAGTTTTTTTTTTCTTTTTTTATATTAAGTTTTCTTATTATAAAATTTTTTCTGTTACTAAGGGCTTTATTTATAAAAAGTTTTTTTCTTAAAACTAAAGCTTTAGCTCTTATTAGTATCTTGTTTTTAAAGTTTAGGTTTCTGTTTAATGATTTTATAATTATAATTTTCTATTTGTCTTTTTTAATCAATGATAAACAGAAAAGAGTTTATAATCAAATTTAATTTTTAATTTTAATTTTATAAAAAAACTTATTTATATAATTAATTCTTTTTAAAATCAAATATTAAAATAATAATAAATTTTTTACTATATGTTTATAAAAAATTATACTTAAATAAAATTTTTTTATACTTTTACAATAATTTGTTTAACAAAATTAAATGTCTATATAAAGGTATAATTATATAAAATGTAACTATATACAGGTTTAACTAAATATAAATATAAAATTTTTCTTATATCTAAATATTTAAAATCTTTTTTGCTTATTTTTATATATCTCTTCTATAAATGTAAATAATCAAATATATTTGTATATATTTATGCATAATTATGCAAAGATGCATAAAAATCTACAAGATTTCCAAATACCTAAGTTTTTTAAAAAAACCTTATATTTATATAAAAGTTAGTTTTCTAATTAAATTTGAAGAAAAATATTAAATTTGGTTAGATAATCATTGAGATATTTTAAGAATAAAAAATTTTTTACTAAAATAATTTGCCTTTTTCAATTGACCTTCTCTTATATATTACCGAAATGTAATCTATTATAAGATTTTTTCTATAGATAAAACCAAATTTTATTATTAAATATATAAAATTATTACTTAAAAAATACACAAGTTTTATAAAATTATGATTCGAAGTATGCGAATTGTCAATAATAAAGTTTAAAAGAAATTACAAAAAATTACAATTATAATATAATCATGCAATTATGTCTTTAGGAGCTGATATTTTTTTTTGTTCAAGTATCTCATATTCTTTTCTTACAAAATTTTCAGCATCATCTTTACCCCGTTGAACATCGATAGTATAAATGATGAAAATTGGTACTGTCATCATAACAAGTAAGAACCAATAAGAATATCGAAGGTCGTGGGTTGAATCTCTTATCAAGCCTGTTACCAATGGACCTAGCCAACTTGAACCCTTAATATCATAAAGTTTGAAACCGTAAATATAAATAAAATAATTACAGTTATCCAACAAACGCTTATAACCATATATTTTCTGTTTTGTGTTGCGACATGAAATTATAAGACTAATTCAATGACAATTTGTAAATCATGATCATAAATTGCCGGATAACACAAACACAGTTTAATACTTGAATTTCAATCAAATTTGACTTGATCAAATATTTGAACTTCAAATCGAAAGTTTAGTATATATTGAGAACCACATAATCAAATTCAATGAAATTTTTTTATTTGGATTATACGAATTTCTAAAATTCGAATAAAAAAATTTCATTGCATTTGATTATGTAGTTATCAAGATATCTTCTAACAAATTTTATATTTGAAGTTCAAATATTTGATCAAGTCAAATATTTGATTGAATTCAGAGAAACACTGGGCAGGCGTTGATGTTTGACTCGAATGAGTACCGTATTTTACTGAAATTAAGCACCCCCTCAGAGCAATTTTTTATAACCAAAATTCTCGTGATCTTAATAATCGGATCTGTATAATTTTGGTACCATTCGAATCAACTTATCAAAACGATTCGAATAGTACCAAAATTATACAGATCCGAATCTTAGGTCACGAGAATTTTAATTATAAAAATTGCTCCGAGGGGAAGCTTAATTTCGGTAAAATACGGTAAATGATTGGCCTACAATGCCACTGAACTGCACTCGTCATCTAATCGTTTACCCGTTCGAGAAAATTATCATTATTTATCAACACTTGCCAGGTATTATACAACATAAAAACCAATAATATTATGTACGTACCTTATCAGTAATTTCATAGAGTGAAAACAATTCGTTCTCATGACCACGTGGTACTATACTTCCAAACAAAACTCGACAATAACTCTGAATAGCACCCAACGAGAACCCGAAATAAACGGCGAACATCCAAACCTCCCAAAGGTTCTTGATGCCGAAAGGAGCCACAAAACCAATTAAACCATATATTGGAATCAGCGCATGAAGACTTGCTGTTATGAGGATCATTGTTTTAGTTCGTAAATCAAAGTATTGTTGAATTTTTGAAAGTATATAAACACCAATAAATGCACATGTGGGAATTATAATGGCAGCTATAAATAATTGATGTGGACTAAGACCGAGCTGCGTTTTGCCAAAAAGTATAGCTACAGATACGATCGTGTTGAATCCATCGCTTAATAGAAACCAAGCAATTAAGAATTTCATGGTTTGCCAAAGCTGACGTGTTGATGAAATAGTTTTAGCAACACGTTTCCAGGAATAGAATACATAGTTTTCACCACTGAAATAAGAAAAAATAAAATAAATAAATTAAATAAAATGTGAAAAGTTAATGAATATCGGATAAATTAATATAACAAATTACATACGAAGGTAACGGAGGACTTTCACGATCCTGCAACCATAATAATGGAAATGTCAAATTGAGAAGCCACCAGGCACCACAAATCGCAGTACCAACTTGATAGCTGTATGAATTTTCATTCATCAACAACATGACACCCGCACAAAGAATTAGAATAAGCACACCAGCAGTACAACCAATAATTATAGAATTAGAAGATATGGTATTTGCGATTTCATCCTCAATCTCATTTAGTTCCTTGGATGATTTACCAGCCTTTTTGGCATCAATTACTCGAGGATGGACACGAGTAAACGTTGGAATATATGCAAGGTAAAATACAAAAGCAGCACCGAATGAGACATTACTTTGAAAACAAGATGAATGAGTATGTTAAGATTTATTTTATTACCCACTAGAATCATGAAATTGCTTACGATATGATTGTTAAAAATCCAGCAAACAAATAAAGCCCTGTAAAAAAAAAAAATTAGAATATCATCATGGTTTGTACATGTATGTGATACATATATGTCATACCATGTGGTACAAAAATGAAAGCGATTGTTGCAAACGCGCCAATATATGAAAAAGTAAGTAAGAACTTTTTTCGGAAGTCTAAAACATGAAGGTTTATTATTAGGAATCATTAGAATCATTAGGAGTAAGAGGACTTTAATAATACAAGATACATACTTCCGTGATCCGCAAGAGAACCGAATGCAATATATACAATGGCTTGAAGAAATACCGAAATGGATATTACATATAGTGAATAGCTTGCGGTATCAAAAAAGCTCGAGCCAATCTTTATATCGCATTTATAATTTATTTGTGACTATAATTTGAAAAATTATACAAAAGAATTAAGGGGTTGGGCATAATTTACAAATATAATGATAAAAAACTAACCGTATTGCATGGAGTCACATGATCAAGCTCGAATCCAGCCTCGCTTGCGAGATTTTCCAATATTATTGGAATGAAAACTATTTCGTAACATTATTGTTAATGAAATAAAAAAAAAAAAAAAAAAACCATCAAATATCACCTGTTATTGCGGCAACATAATAGACTTCACACTATAATTGCAATGTAGTAAGGACTTAAACTCATGTTCTCAGCTCTGTAAATGACATATCAACATACCGCCAAGTTATATAAATACCAGCCATTTAATTCTTTTGTAGTAACCGGAGGGTCATCAGTTAACTTCATATCTGTTAAAAGATGTAGAATATCAGACTTTCGTGCTTTGCAGAAATCTCGGAATTTTTTTTTAGTGCAATATTTTACGGTTAGGAATTAAATTTTATGAATAACGATAAGTCGAAAAAAATAAATGTCAAATATCATAGTGATGTATTTATAGCAGTAAATGATTTAAATTTTAACACGTAAAATCACGAAAATCACGAAAATCACACGGCATAACCAGAATTGTATTAATGGCTGTGTTGATGAGTATTGCCGAAGACTTTGGGGGCATTTTCCCAGTATAACCTTAGAATTCCGGATTCTCTGATTCTATATATCTCTGTCAATGGCTTGTATAGGGTACAACTTAAAAACCTTTTTTTTTTTTTTTTAGTCAAAATTTATGTCTCGATAATCATAGTGAATAACCTTAATTGGGAAAATCCCGGTCCGATCTCGAGATCGATCACAATGTTTTGTCACCGTAAATCACGCACAAGCATGATGAATATTCTTTACAAATCATATCACTAACCCGATCAGTTAAATAAAATTGGATCTTTTGATTTACTATATGTATAGAAAATTTGGTGAATGCTGTTGAAAATAAATATAACAATAAGTGAGAAATTCGTGTTGAAACTATGGTAAAACTTAAAATTACGTAGTTTACCTGCAACTCTAGTATCTATTTAGTATAGTTGGGATTTAATTTCCCACTATCAGAGTACCATAAATTGATTAATAATGCAGTCAGGGAATATGTCACATAGGGTGTAATTATATGTGCTGAACAAGGTTATATTAGTAAAAAAACAAGTTAGCTATACACTAAAGTTAAAATTTTTAGGTTATCTATGTACAACTTTTTTTTTGTTTACTAAAGAAACCTATCTTCGCCTCTAAGTGAACTTACTCAGCATAAAATGTTACATGCATACATCTGTTAAATTGCGGTTTCTCAGACCTTTTATTAAGTAAAAAATTGAATTAACGTTGGTAAAATGTTTTTTTTTAAAAAAAAAATTATCCGAATTGAATACAATTTTTTACGATAAAAAAAAAATTGTACATAAATAAACTAAAAATTTTAACTTTAGTATATAGCTAATTTATTTTTTTACTAAGATAACCCTTTTGCCTTCTAAGTAAACATGTTCAGCATACAATTTTACATATAATTACACTTTTAAAATTAGAAAATATTTTTTTTATAAAATTTGATTAAGAAAATTTACAATTTTTATGAAATTTTAAAAAAGTGTTCTAAATAACCTTAATCTACTATTTTTGATATGCTTAACCCTAAAATATGAAATTAAGTTAATGTGTAAGTTAAAAAATAATGTGGGCTCAAAGTTTATAATAAATTTATATGTTTTTATTATAGATTTTATTATAAAATGTATATTATAATACTCATATATCAACAGGCGTGACATATTCCCTGACTGATAGATATTAGAAATGTGGGATAAATTAGTATACGTAATAGGCAATAAAAAAACTCAAGTTTGAAACTATGGTGAAACCCAAAATTAGTTTCACCTGCAATCTACATAGTCAATTAACGATTCCATTAAAACCGTATTACGAATAGTAGTGCAAAAATCGCATTTGAGTATATAAAATTAGCATACTATACTCATAATATGTATATTAGATATAAAATAGTATAGTCGTAAAGAATTTAATTATCTGTTATTATATGTGACCTCACGAAAATTCTACGTATAGAAATTTATTTAATAAAAATGAGAAACTAAAATCACAACTCATACAGGGAGGTCTTCAAATTTTCGGGTCGGAATGATCGGCATAGTCGGAATGAACTAATCATTAATTAAAGCTGCCTAGTTGATAATTTTGACTCAAAATTGTTGTCTTTAGTGTTCCGCAAACGGGTACCCGGATTGGAACCACAGGGGATTTTAACATTCCGTCGTCAAGCAATTGGATAATGTACAAATCTGTACGGACATACGAAAATTTTGATAGTACGTACGGTTAACGTAGGTTTGTAAAATTAATTTTAAAGTTCATTATCCATTTGCACAAGGATGTGATGGGTCATTGAATAAGCATTAGTTAATATAATTATTTAGCCAATTCTTACTCGTCACACCAATGATTCATCATCCTCATGCCAAATGAAAGAGGAGACCTAATCCTTTACAAGTAAATCCTTTTTTATGTTTAGGGTAAGGAAAAGTACGAGCATTGTTCTTTTTTCATGAGAGGTTACCGTATTGTCTCGAAATAACAAACCGGGGTAAAATCGCCATGCCAAAAAAATTTCGAACATTACATAATATATGTATTATTATCATGATTATAATTATGATAATAATAAAGTAAAATATTGATTTTGAAAGTTTTAGTATTTTTTAAGAGAATGAATTATTGTGATATTAATAATATTATGCATAAGTGAAGTTAGATGAAGTTAGGAATAAGATTAGCTTAAAATGAACCAGCTTAACCTTAGCTTTTTAGCCAAGTTAACAAAACCAGCTGAGTTAGCTTAAGTCATATTACATGATATGCTATAATATAGCAAACTTTTTATATAATTAGATAATAGAATAAGTCTGCTAATAAAATTTTTATTATATTATAAGATGATATGCAAAAATTGGCCAATTATAATGAAAGTCTACCAAATCAAAAAACAAGAAACTCTTTTTGCTGATCATCAAAACACAAATTTACAAAAAAGAAAATCAAATTTTATACAAAAACCAGTGTTAAAACAATAGTCAAAGACTTAGACAAAAAGAAAAAGTACTAAAAACAGACTTAGTAAGTGCAAAAACAAAGAAAATAAAAAGATATAACAAGTAGAAAAAAGACAAGTTTGACAAAATAGAAACCAAAAAGAAAATTTTGAGAAAACAACATTGACCTGAAATTACAGATCATTTTAAATCACATGAACATGTGAGGAAACAAATAAACAAATATATACAAATATAAGCAGGATAGACATGTAAATATTACAAAGTGCATATAATAGAAGTATTTAGAAATAGTTGCACAGATATAGCCAGATATTGATACAAATAAAATCAGAAGAATCTAAGATATTAAAGTTGATAAGTGAAAGAACAGAAGCAGTACTAAAACTTATAAATAATAAAAATTGAAATAAGAACTAGCAAATAGAATCAACTACGTTAATGTAAGAGATATAGTTGCAGTAGCATTATGAAAGACAGATTTAATGGAGACAATAATGTTAAAAAAAATATATGAAGCAATAATTAAAGTAAACATAAAAGATCCAACCAGTATAGAAAAATAGACAGAAGAAATAAATCATGTAAGTCAATATTTAATATCAATAGAAATTATAAATAGTAAGAAAAATCAAACAATGTCAAAAAAAAAAATAACTATATCAGAAAGATATATGGAAAAGATGAGACAAACAACAAATGCAGTAGATATAATAATGAAGAAAAAAGAATTATGACAAAACATAAGTGAAGAAAAAAAAGAATGACAAAAGAGAAGAAAAAACAAAGAAGATACAAAAAATACAGAAGACATAAGTATGACAATGGAAACAACTATAAATAAATATATAAAAAAAGAAATTAAAACATTAAAGACAAATGTAATGCAACAAGATTGTTAAGACATAATAGCAACAATTAGAAATCAAGAAAAAAAAAAAAAGAAGAAAGAAATAGAACTATGAAATAGAGAGAAACAACTTCATAGAGACACTATTAGAACAAAACATATGGTCATCTGTAAACAGAGATTGCAATAAAAAACTAATATATACAATAAAAATACTAGTATATAATGTGTCAAGCAGCTCAAAAGAAGAAAGAACAAAATTTGTAGAAAGACTACTAATAACTAACAAACATGTGATAGAAGTCAAAGAAGTATTCAAGAAGAATAATGCTTAGATTGTAGTCAATTTTGATTATAAACATAATAAAGAAAAAGTAATCAACAAGATTCAAAGAAAACACAATAGCTGGTTTAAAATGATTTCTAACATATAAGAACACAAAAATAAAAGTAAAAGAGAAGAAAAGAAGGAAACAAAAAAGAAAGAGAAAACAAGAAGAAAAAAGAAAGATGCAGAAGAGAAAAGAGAGTTAAAAGACAAAATGAAGAGTCAAAAAGAAGAAAAAACAAAGAAAACTTAGTAACACTTATAATATAGAATCTTTTGAAGAAAATCTTAGAGCAAGAGATCAAATACTTAGTAAGAAAAATAAGAAATATATTATCATATAAAATGAGAAGAAACACATATAGGATGACAACAGTAATTAAAGTCAAAGAAGAGGCTAAACAAATATTTCCATAGGTAATTACTTTGAGAAATGAAAATCTAGCAAGAATGACAATAGGCAAAGAAGAAGAAAAAAGAAAAGAAAAAAGAAACAAGTTTACAACAAAACTGAAAGAAATACCAAAAGAAATATCTGAACTAATTCTTGTAAGAGAACTTAAGGTTAGAAAGACAATAACAATATACATACCACTGAATAGATGGAGAAGACTAAAAAATTATGCAGTAATATTATTCAAAAGCCAAACAGACATGAATATAACTACTAAAAAAAAAGTTTAGTATAATGGAACTTTAATGTTTTAGAAATGCAAAACCCAAAAAAATGACAAAAGAATACAAAAAAGTAGCAGCAGAGAGCAAGAGATGAAAAAAAATGAAAGAGTGATACAGAAAAATACAAGCTTAAAAGAAGAATAAGAAAATGCAAAAGATCTGATAAATAGATACAAAAAGAAAATAGAATTAAAAGAAAATAGAAGTAATTAGAAAAATAAAAACTACAAAAATAAAGTGTAAGATAGAAGAAATATAGTAACCAAAGACCAGAGTTAAGGAAATACAAATAAGAAAAAAATAGTCCAAAGAAGACCACAAGAAAGAGCCTCACACATTGAAGACATATTAGACCTAATATTAGAAAGATTAGAAAGACTAGAGAAGAACAAAGAGAAAAATAAAATAGAACAACCCAACTGCTCCTAAGGGCACCACAGTTGAATCAACAAATATAGACAA